TATCTGTAGCTATGGAAATGTTAAAAAATATGTAATCAATCAAATGTATCTAGTTTTTCCTTATTTTTTCCTGAAACTTTCTAGATTTTTGCACCAGAAATTTGGAAGATTTTACCTACTCTTTCTCTGAACAGAACTCACCAATGTTTTCTTGATAGAAATAGATTAATCTGTTTTATCACTTAAATCTCTAATTCATTTAGAATTTATCATAATGTATAGTTTGAGAAAGGATCAATTTTATCTTTTGTTTTTCATATTTCCAGGTAACTTATTCAGTCTATCCTTTTACTCACTATTTTCTGATACTGCTTTTTAAATCAAGTAATATGTCTATTTCTTGAATTTCTGTTCCGTTAATTAAAAAAAATTTTTTTTTTAAATTTTCGGTCCACCCATGGGCTATTATACCACTGTATGGAAAGGAAAATACGATATTTTAAAATATTTGGTAGGGCTCTTTTTCTTTCTTTGGGGTTTTCCCATCTATGCTAGTTTTTAATTTTTTCAAATTAATTTTATAATCAATTTCTTTAGATCCAAAAAAACCTGAGAGTATTTTTTTTATTGTAATTGTGTTAAGTTTGTAATTTAACTTAAGAAGAGCTGCCATCTTTTCTGCTTTTGAGCCTTTCGTTGCAGGAACACAGTGTGAGCCTCCATTTGTTAGAATCTACTTTTCATATGTTAGCATTTTTCTTATAGGTTTCCTCATATGCTCATATATGCTCATATATGGACATTCTTTTTTGTTGTTGTTCTTATTTAAATTCCAGTTAGTTAATATACAGTGTAATATTAGTTTCAGGTGTACAATATAGTGATTCAACACTTGGTGCTCACCACAGGTGCCCTCCTTAATCCCCATCACCTATTTTACCCATCCCCCGACCCCCCTCCCCTCTGGTGACCATCAGTTTGTTCTCTAGAGTTAAGAGGTTCGTCTGTTTCTTGGTTCGTCTCCCTTTCTCTTTCCCCCCCTTTGTTCATTTGTTTTGTTCTTATAGTCCACATATGAGTGAAATCATATGGTATTTGTCTTTCTCTGACTTGTTTCACTTAGCATTATACTCTCTAGCTCCACCCATGTCATTGCAAATGGCAAGATTTCATTCTTTTTTGTGACTGAGTGATGGACATTCTTTGCTAGCTGTATGCCTAGATATTTTCCTATTTTTACACAATTGTAAGGGAGGTCTTCTATCTTCTATCTGATCTCTGCTTGTATATACAAGTGCTATTAGCTTTATGTATTTATGCACTTTGCATTTTTATCAACATGGTTTTGTTGTGGTAGTTTTTCCATTAGTTATCTTGGTTTTTCCAACACATCATTTGTTTTTTTAGTTTTTTGTTTGTTTTTTTTAAGATTTTTATTTATTTATTTGAAAGAGAGGGAGAGAATGAGCGAGGGGAGGGGCCAAAGCACAAGCAGACTCCCCGCTGAGCGCGGAGGCAATGGGAGCTCACTCAATCCCAGGGCCCTGAGATCATGACTTGAGCAAAGTCAGACACTTAACCCACTGAGCCACCCAGGGGCTCCCAACTTGTCATTTGCAAATAAACATAGTTTTTCTTCTTTCTTTCCAATTATTATGTCTCCAGATGATTTTTCTTGTCTAAATGCGTTTCTAAATTGTAGTAGAAATAATGGGCATGGTTTTCCTGTTCCTCAATGTAGTAAAATTTCCAGTATATGTCACCATTAGGTAAGATACTGGCTTTGGGTTGAGGTGTACACACACACACACACACACACACACACACACACACACACACACACCATATTAAGGACATATCTGTCAGTTCTCATTTTGTTGTACTTTAAAAAAATATAATAAATGGTAGACTTTGTCAAATGCCTTTTCTGCCATCTATGGACATGATCACATGCTTTTTTTCCATTGCTCTATTGATAGGATGGATTACATTAAAGGAATTCCTAATATTGAATGACACTTTCCTGGAATAAGCCCAATTGACTAAGATGTGTTATATTTTAAAGTTTTACTGGATTCTGTTTATTAACTTCATATCTATAGTTTTTGCATTGATATTCATATATGACATGAGTCTAAAATTTCATTTTTAAAATGTAATGTTTGTGATTTGGGGATCAATATTCTATTTGTATCAGGAAATGAACTTGGAAAATTTACTTTGTTTATTAAGATCTGAAAAGGTAAAATAACCATAGGATTATCTGATAACTTAAGATTTGGTAAAATCTTCCCATAAACTAATCTTATTAGTATATGATTTCTTTGAGGGAAAGAGACTATATATTCCTCCAGTTTTCCACCAGAGCCCAACACAATGCCTAGAATAATAAATGGAACTAATTTGTATGTGTTTAATTAAAATAGAGTCTGAATTTCAAATATATAGGTGAGGGATTATTTTTCAAGTACAGTTGTGATAAATTATAGTCTTCAAGTGGTGATTTTATTTCTTCATGTAGCTTGGAGACTCTCAGAAGAGAGGTCTATGATGAACATGGATGCAAAAATTCTCACCAAAATACTAGCCAATAGGATCCAACAGTACATTAAAAGGATTATTCACCAAGACCAAGTAGGATTTATTCTTGGGCTGCAAGGTTAGTTCAAGATCCGCAAATCAATGTGATACAATACATTAATAAAAGAAAGAACAAGAAACATATGATCCTCTCAATAGATGCAGAAAAAGCATTTGACAAAGTATAGCATCCTTTCTTGATCAAAACTCTTCAGAGTATAGGGATAGAGGGTACATACCTCAATATCATAAAAGCCATCTATGAAAAACCCACAACAAATATTATTCTCAATGGGGAAAAAATGAGAGCTTTCCCCCTATGATCAGGAACATGGCAGGGATGTCCACTCTCATCACTGCTATTCAACTTAGCACTAGAAGTCCTACCCTCAGCAGTCAGACAACAAAAAGAAATAAAAGGCATCCAAATCAACAAAGAAGAAGTGAAACTCACTTTTTGCTGATGATATGATACCTTATGTGGAAAACCCAAAAGACTCCACCCTAAAACTGCTAGAACTCATACAGGAATTCAGTAAAGTGGCAGGATATAAAATCAGTGCACGGAAATCTGTTGCATTTCTATACACCAACAACAAGGCAGACAAAGAGAAATTAAGGAGTCGATCCCATTTACAATTGCTCCCAAAACCATAAGATACCTAGGCATAAATCTAACCAAAGAAGCAAAAAAATATGTACTCAGAAAACTATGAAAGCAATTGAGAAAGACACAAAGAAATGGAAAAACATTCCATGCTCATGGATTGGAAGAACAAATATTGTGAAGATGTCAATGCTACCTAGAGCAATCTACAAATTTAATGCAATCCCTATCAAAATACTGTCAACTTCTTTCAAAGAAATGGAACAAATAATCCTAAAATTTGTGTGGAACCAGAAAAGACCCTGAATAGCCAGAGGAATGTTGAAAAAGAAAAAGCTGGCGGCATCACAATTCCAGACTTCCAGCTCTATTACAAAGCTGTCATCATCAAGACAGTTGTTTTCTTTTATTCTTTTATCATATGATCTGGTGCTGGCATAAAAACGGACACATAGATCAATGGAGCAGAATATAGAGCCCAGAAATGGACCCTCAACTCTATGGTCAACTAGTCTTTGACAAAGCAGGAAAGAATGTCCAATGGCAAAAAGACAGTCTCTTCAACAAATGGTGTTGGGAAAATTGGACAGCCACATGCAGAAGAATGAAACTGGACCATTTCCTTACACCACACACAAAAATAGACTCAAAATGGTTGAAAGACCTAAATGTGAGACTGGAATCCATCAAAATCCTTAGGAGAACACACGCAGCAACTTCTTTGAGCTCAGCCACAGCAACATCTTCCTAGAAACAGCACCAAAGGCAAGGGAAGCAAGGGCAAAAATGAACAGTGGAACTTCATCAAGATAAAAAGCTTTTGCACAGCAAAATAAACAGTCCACAAAACCAAAAGACAATCGACAGAATGGGAGAAGATATTTGCAAATGACATATCAGATAAAGGGCTGGTATCCAAAATCTATAAAGAACTTATCAAAATCAACACCCAAAGAACAAATAATCCAGTCAAGAAATGGGCAGAAGTCATGAACAGACATTTTTGCAAAGAAGACATGCAAATGGCCAAGAGTGAAAAAGTGCTCAACATTACTCAGCGTCAGGGAAATCCAAATCAAAACCTCAATGAGATAGCACCTCACACTGTCAGAATGGCTAAAATTAAGTCAGGAAATAACAGATGTTGACGAGGATGCAGAGAAAGGGGAACCCTCCCACACTGTTGGTGTGAATGCAAGCTGGTGCAGCCACTCTGGAAAACAGTATGGAGGTTCCTCAAAAAGTTGAAAATAGAGCTATCATATGACCCAGCAATTGCACTACTGGGTATTTACCCCAAAGATACAAATGTAGTGATCCAAAGGGGTCTGTGCACCCCAATGTTTATAGCAGCAATGTCCACAAAAGCCAAATTATGGAAAGAGCCTAGATGTCCATCAACAGATGAATGGATAAAGAAGATGTGGTATATATATATATATGTGTGTGTGTGTGTGTGTGTGTGTGTGTGTGTATACACAATGAAATATTATGCAGCCATCAAAAAATGAAATCTTGCCATTTGCAATGACGTGGCTGGAACTAGAGGGTATTATGCTAATAAGTCAATCAGAGAAAGACAATTATCATATGATCTCACTGATACGAGACATTTGCGAAACAAGACAGAAGATCATAGGGGAAGGGAGGGAAAGATGAAACAAGATGAAACCAGAGAGGGAGACAAATCATAAGAGACTCTTAATCTCAGGAAACAAACTGAGGGTTGCTGGAATGGAGGGGGGTGGGAGGGATGGGGTGGCTGGGTGATGGACATTGGGGAGGGTATGTGCTATGGTGAGCACTGTGAATTGTGTAAGAGTGATGAATCACAGACCAGTACCCCTGAAACAAATAATACATTATGTGTTAGTTAAAAAAGAAGAAGAAGAAGAAGAAGAGAAGTCTAGCCAATCACATCCTGTATGCTGAATCCTGGAGCACAGCAGAGACATTGGACTATGAACACACATGACAAGTCCCAGAGCTCCAAGTAAGCAGGTGAGACTGGGGCAAAGACATGGAAGCAAGTGCATGACAAAATGGGGTGCCAGATGTTGAAATTCTTTGTAGGGTTTGCTGAGGAGTTTTCTTTTGTCTTGTAAGCAATGGGAATGTTTCACCAAAAGATGTTGATGTTAAATGATCCCCCTGGTAGCAGAGCAGAGGATACATTGGTGCTAAAGAGGTAATGATGGTGGTAGAGGTGGAAATGAAGAAAGACCGGAGGAAAAAACAAATATGAAAACGATAATTTAGGCCAGAATTAGGCCAGACTTAATGGAAAAAGATATTCTGGAGATATTTGAGATACAAAGCAAATAGGATTTGAAGAATTTCATGAAAAATGGAATGTTTAAAGTAAGCAAAAGGAATCCTAGTAAATTCCTCAGATTCCTGACCTTGGCAATTGGGTGGTCTCTTGTGACATTGCTAATATGAAATGTATGGCATCAGGAACAAAGACTGAGGAGGTAGAAGATGAATCAAGATCAAAACGACTGCTGATAGTCACTCAATGATTAAAGGGAGATTTAATTACTCTAATTCTATTATAATAACAGCTTACAAAGTACTCATTTGAGTTTTATGGAGGTTAAGTAATTATCCCCATTTTACAGATAAATAAGCTGAGTAGCACAGAGAATAAGATTCTTGTACAAGTCATATAGCTAGAAATGATCAGAAATTTGATTTAAACACATGTTTTCTGACTCCAAGTCCTAAGAGATCTTCACTACCTCTTGGTATATGAGAGTGGGCTCATTGACACATTCTGGAAAGCTTTGTATCATAGGTGAAAATAGAAATGGAATTCTGGTTATCTCTGTTAAATTGTAAACTGAAGTGGCCATAACATTTATCCCATAATACACACATCCCCCTTCATCTCCTAATGCTGTAATGTCTTATAATAACTATTTTACATTTGCATTCAATGGAAGCTTCCTCAGGAAAATATAACAAGAATATTAATGCATACTGTAGCAGTCATTTTCCTTCCTAAACCAATATTTCCAAAATCATACTATTAAACTCACAAGTTAGCTAAAACACTGTCAAATATGTTTACCTACAAGGTTTTCGTTATATTTTTTATGTGGAATTCTGTTTCTGAAGTTAGAGTGGAAGAATTAAAAAATAAAAATATTCCTCCTCCAAGAGTTCACTTACCTCTGTTTACTTTTATGGTCAACAGAGCCAGCAGAGAGTCTGTCCAGAGGAGACCCAAAACCCGAGAAGCTCCTTTTCTTCTTTGTTTCAATTACATCATTCTCCAGAGACAAAAGTTCATCAAGAAGCAAGAGTTTTGCTGCCAGATTAGTAGCTGATTTCTCCTCCCCGACTGTGGGCGGTGCCTGCACATCTATGACTCCAGAATCAAAAGCCTATAGGGCAAGAAAGGTGATTCCATTTGTTCAGAAAAAGAAACCTTAAATATATATAATCATCTGCATTTGGCTTTTGCTAGCTTTAGCTCACCTGCCTGCCATGATACTTGATTTCTTATGGTTTTATGTTTCTAGAAAAAGACTTGTGGAGACAAAAATGCATAGAGATGATGTATGTCTAAACACAATTAAAACAATACACACACACACACACACACACACAAACACACAGGAAAAAAGGAAAAACTACAGGTCTGCCTCTAAAATTTAGTATCTTAACTGATCATTCTTTTAGGTTCTTTCCCAGTAACAGCTGCATCCTTCCTTATCATTCCCATAGCACTTTATCTTTCTTCATTGTACTCATTACATTTTCCCTTGTATTAGATTGGTACAATAAATTTGTATTGCATATTAGATTGTGAGTAACCTGGGGGCAATAACTATGTCTAATTAGTCCTTTATTTTTTCACTCTATTCAATGCTTAAGCCAGTATTTTGCTTATAGTTAGTACTCAGTAAATTTCTGAATATTTCTTGAATGAATTTTGAAAATGCAAACCTCACACTGTTATCGTTTCACCATTCATTCACACCTTATTGAATCAAGCCATTAAGCACCCACTATGTACCAGGTTCTGCATTAGACCTGAGGGGTAAAAAAATGAACAAAATCCGGTTTCTGCCCTCAGGAAGCTTACTATCTCTTTCCATGTGATGCATTACCACATGTTAATGAGTGTCTACAGTGAGTCATAACTATCCCAATGACTTTATCCTCCTGTGTAAAATTTCTTGTTTGTTACATATATTGCCACTTTGCACTGTATTCAAGACATAAAAGTGTGGTGTCTTTTCCTTTCCTAATCCTGGTCACAGCATTTTAAAAAGTGTTCCTATTAACTGTCTCTAGTCATTGTGGAGTCTGGGGGATATTACTTCTTTTCTAGGAAAGTGAGAATATTCCCCTGTGGGAAGAAACTAGCTCCAGGGATCTCCTTCCTGCCCCTCTGTATGTCACATTCCTCCTTGTGCCAGACTTGGTCTTGGCAAGACTCTTTTTCTTCACTTCCTTTCTTTCTTCTTAGATTATTTCTTCCGTTCTCTTTCTATGTTCTTCATTTTCCCCAATAAAATGAAAGAGCGGCCTTTTCCAAGCCTTTTCATCATTGGCTCCAGCAACTCTCTCTTGTGAAATATATATAGTCTGACACCTAGACTCAAAGCTATTGAACCTCCTCTTTCCTAAACCAACCAAATTTGCACTAAGTCTGGTCAGTTCTTCCTGGAAAAACTCTCTTGCTCTTTCTGATTCCCATCAGTAGTGACTTATATCAGCTCCTCTTCACTGCTTAGTGTAGCTTCACTCCTAATCACCTCATAACCTGCTTCTCTATCCTCTGTCTCCCCCTTTTCTCTTCTATCCTGAATACTGCCAAGAAGCTAATTATTGCAAACACACTCTCATCTGGTAGAAAGAAAATAAGAAATCTCTCCTGGCTCTTGTTATTTATAACGCAGATTGCACAATGTCCACAGACTCCTTTTAAAATTTCAACGTCTATCACTCTCCTACATAAACTTGACAACATAGAAACTGGGGAAGGGAAGGATGCTATAATCATGAGAAAGAAACTCTAGAGAGTAGTAGACAAACTTTCAAAGGGCAAAGATAGGATATCTTTTATTATCTCTTAGTGCATCCTCCAAAAAATATGTTTTCATTCTTCCAACTGCCACACATACAAAATAGAGTTTTGTTCCTTTTTAAAGATACTCTTAATTAATCCTAAGGGGAAAAAAAAAACATAGCTCTCATGTAAAACTTCCTTCAGCAAAGTGCTTTTCAGATTCTCACTTGTTATTTACAAAGTACAGAGAACACTTTCTAATAAGATCAAATTAGCCAAATTAACATTTCTCTGTGTACTTTAGTCATGGAGGCAAGAAAACATTTGTATAGTCATACAAAGTTTGGCCAAAGCGACTCAAATTTTGAAATGTAACAACTTCAAATTTCCCACAAAAGCACTTCATCTTAATGTAATTGATTTAATTAAAAATATGGCCAAAAGGATATTGAATTTTCTCTTAATGCTTTTTTGTTCAAGGAATACACATCTTTATTACTTCCATTTTATTTTTTGGCATTCAGATAACTGGCCTTCTCTGAATCTACAGTGAGGTCAAGACAATAGAAAAAAAAAGTCTATTTCCTTGATTTTGTGCTATCAAGACATCTCTCTATTTGTCAGCAGCACCTGCTTCTGATAAGTAGAAATGGCTTATGTTCATAAAAAAAAAATATGGTCCCTTAGGCTAGTTTCCATTACCTCTGTTGCTACATCCACTGAACGTACTTTTCCTGAACTCCACAGCATCAACATCACAGCCAGAATAAAATGTGCATTTGCCAATCTCCAGTCCAGCATCTGAGGGTCACATACATCAAGTCAACATTTATTACTTTCGCATATAAAGATAGAAAACAAAAGCTCTGGGAAACTTGTTAGATGCAGGTGATAAACCAAATTTTTCAGCTTCTAGGTGCTGGAGTGCATCTCTGAAAAAGTTAAGTAATACTTAACAGAAGCTGTCAGTCTACTGGAATGAATTCTATTAAGGCTTCATTTCCATGGAAACCTAGGCTGGGGTTGTATAGCTATAATCATAATTCGAACCAACCAAAGTCTGAGAAATCTAGTTGTGTAATCTTATTCTTTGACTATCTAATCCCAGGATTATAACCTCATATATCCAGGGGAAATGTGTGAAATTGGCCAGGTTTTCGAAAATAAAGTCCAGCGAGGTCTGTGTGAACCTGAGAAAATGCACTGTGTCTAAAAACATTTAAATTGACAAATTCAAAGCACCACATATCCATAGACAAATATATCTATGCCCTTGTGTCATGTAAGGATTTCTTAAGATTCAAAAGGTGCAAAATGGAATATATTTTCAACATAATATATAAGAGAGATTAGCATTTGAAATATTTAAAAACTGATAAATAAAATTTTAAAAATAGCAATTAATTAACAATTAAGTAAAAAATGGACCAAAGTTATGAATGGGCATTTCATAGAAAAGGAAATAACCTAATGGAAAATAAACATCCAAAAAGACATCATCCAAAAATACACGCAACTTATTTAATGCAAAAAAAGAGTGAGACATACATCAGATTGGCAAAAATTCAAAGTGAACATTGCAAATATTAGAGTGGTGCTTGGAAACAGAAAAACACAAGTGATACTAGTGGGGTTGGAAATGAATCCAATCATTTGGAGAAAATTGGACGATATCCAGAAAAGTTGAAGATGATCATGTCCTACCTATAACCCATGTATTTCACTTCTTGGTATGTATTCCAAAAGAACTCTTACATATTTTTATGGAGACATGTATCTGAAAGTTCATAGACTCATTGTTTATAGTGGTAAAAACTGGAATCAATCCAAGTACTCTACTCAGGAGGAAATGGGTTTATCAATTGAAGTACATCCATAGTATGGACTTAGAACAGATGACTTAAACATATCTGTATCTACTATTAAAACAAATGATTTAAATGTTATGTGTATTTACATGCATGGATTTCAAAGAAGCCACTTTGGGGGGAAATGGGAAGTTGTAGAACAATATATAAGACATGCTATCATTTACCTAAATTGCGGATACACAAAGCAATTTTATGTATTTTGAAATCTATACACATATTAAAATATAAACCGATGGAACTTGATTCATGACTATGATTGCCTCTGTGGAGGGAGGGAATTAAATAAGATTATGGGGGAAACATAGGGACTTAGTTTTGTTTGTTTTTATTTTTTCAAAGATTTTATTTATTTATTTGACACAGAGAGAGAGACACACACAAGCAGGGGAAGTGGCAGGCAGAGGGGGAGGGAGAAGCAGGCTCCCCGCTGAAGGCAGAGCTCAATCTCAGAACCCTGGGATCATGACCTGAACCGAAGGAGACATTTAACCAACTGAGCTACCCAGGCACCTCAGGACTAGTTTTAATCTATCTATATATATTTTAAAGCAAATATGTCTAAATAGCACATTTGTTAATTCTGTGTAGTAATCACAAAGATACATCATTTATACATTTATGATTTTTTACATTAAAAAACACTATACAGACAATTAAGGCTAATCTATGGTGCATACCATGTCTTCTAGATGCCAGTTTGACTGCTGGAAAAGGGGAGGCATTGCCTGGTTTAGGGAAGATTACAGACTGTGGGTTACAACAGAATGGGCCTGACTTCACCACTTGGTACATGGTATTGGAAAAGTCTCCCCCAACCACCCGCCCAACCAGGTCATACATTATGAATGAGAAGTCTCAGTAAACATTTATGTCCATAAAAAATCATTTGGAAAGCTGCTGGGATCAAAAAGGATGGGATGCTTAGATGGATCTGAAGAATTGGATTTGAGTCTCCTTGTGGCTTTAGTATTAGTGATGTTGGATGTGCATCATTTAATCTACTTGAGCTTTATTTTTAGTATTCAGGAAACAAGGAGTAATTCTCACTTCAAAAGAACTTTGAGAGGATTGAATTGATTCATGTATACTTCTTTATCCCCTAATATATTTATAATTTTAAGTGAAAGAACACTGATGAGGTATTACTAAGTATTTCTTTAGTAACTGTGTTTGCTTTGGTGTGACCCAAGATTTTTTTATGAAACTTCCTTATAATACTGTTACTGTGAAACCTCAGTGTAGATTTTAGCAATAAAGACTATCTGCTAGAATATAGACAAATAAGTGTTTTATAGAGACAGGGTAGTATCTGTGTTAACCATGTCTATTAACATTTAAAATAAGTATAAACATATTTTAGCATTGTTGATAACATATATAGAACATAATTTTAATTTTCATGTTATATAGTCTAAACTCGTTCTTCAGTATGCCACCAATACATATTTTGGACTGTAATGTTACTCACTAGTTACTTCTCTATATTCCACCCTTTCTGGAAGGGGGCAGTGTATTCTGTGTTCTCTTTCTGACAAATTGATATCTGAGCTGAGTATTTTTATAAGTATCAAAAAACAATAAATCATGACTATGAGTCTAAATAGAGACAGTAGAAAAATAACAAGAAAGAATGCAACAGTTATCTAATAAAAATACCAACAAAAAGCACATTACCTATTCTTTAAAATATCTGACACAGAATCATATTTTTTCCTTCTGATTATGCTGGTGTCTCTAAATTTCCTCAATGTAAAGGAAGATATATCAATACTTTAACTCTTTTAAAAATGATTTCATATTTCTGGCATGTCTTTTTTTTTTAAATAGCTCTCTTATTCCATCAAAGATAAACTACAGTTGTGATGTTTTTCTTCCTCATTTTTTATCATGTTAAAAACAGGTTACAAAGTGTGAAATGGCCCAATTTTATAAGCCTTTCCATGCGGATTTCCTTTAACTATTTTTATGTACATTTTACAAACCAGGTTTCTCTTCATCTCTGCAATATTATAAATGGCACAGGATGATGGGCATTTATAATATTGATGTTTATGTTTGAGGCATATATTTTTGTGCTTGGGTGTATGTAGGAAAAAAAGTCATAATGTATCATCTTACAGATAACCACATCCTGATTATTTGGATAGGGAGACATAAAAATAAATGCTGAGTTTAAATACACACATTTAATGGTTTAAACCCATGCTTGTAGCCAGTTAACCAGAAGGCCAAGTTCCTAAATATGGCAGTTGGTACACTAATGAAAACAAACACCCTGGCACCTGCCACACAAAAGACATTTGATTAACTAGTTGAAACTTGATTGCCACAAAATTAGAAACAGAGGAAATTATAGGGAGGGAAGGAAAAGAGTAGGTTCAGCTCCATTTCCCTATTTTGTTGATAGTGGATAAATATAGCCTATGATTTAAAATCTAGTTGGCCCCATGTACACTCCAAATCACAGAAAGAACGCTGAAGGATGTTTATTGTAGGGATACACCAAAGTGGAGATATTTGCAATGTTTTCAGGACATCAGTAATTTGAATTGAGTGATTTTTGGATAATATTCCTCTGGCTAGTGAGGAGCTTCAAAAGAGACAGTGAGCGTGGGATCTGCCTTACAAAATTTGGTGCTTGCTTCATTCATTGTCAGCCAATTGGTCTACTATGTTCTTCCATTTTCACATTTTAAATAATACTGTTGAATAAACAAACATTCACACTGTGTAACTTCTCAGCCTTTGTTTTAAAGACTTTTCCATATGTCAGAGTTATATCCCAAAGGAATCCTCCAGACAGTAGCTGGATGGCAATGGAGGGAGCAAGTCTGGGGAGGATAAGGGGGTTAAAGTTTTGTCGTTTAAGCTTGGGAAGCAACGTATATTATATATTCCCTAAAGGAACATTGAGAGTGCATTTTGACATATAAAAGGCTCTGAATGTACAGTAGCAAAAAATTATTTAATTATATTTAGGCTAGAATTAAATGAGAATTCTGTGAAAATGAAGAAAGATGTTTCATTGTTGAGAATCGGTGAGGTAATGAGTCATTGTTATTATAAAAACAAAAAAAATCTCTCCTGTGGGCTGGGATGGAAAAAAAGAAAAGATCGAGCACCACAGATCTAAAAGAGAAAGCAAACAGGAACGAGGGGAGGTGTTAGAGTGAGAGGTTAAGCTGAAAAGAAAAACGTGAGCCAATATCTGATCACAAGCATTTTTTTCATCGCACTTTTAAACTATCTATTTTGAGGGCTGGTGTTGAAAAAAAAAACAAACTTACTTTGGTGATTAAGAAAATTTCTCTTCAACCTGAGACTTTATCAGTAATGTCTGACTTATGGATAGTAGATCTATTAGAAAGTCTCAAGAGTACTGAGTTTGGGTGTGAACTTGGTAACTTTGGGAATTTTTAATTTACCCCAGTTACTTGATTGGAAATACTCAAAGTAGACTTTACTGCACCCTTATTTTCAACAAAAACTAAAAATAAAGGGCTTAAAGATAAAGGCTAAAGAACTCACAAACTAATTAAACTTTTATATTTTTTTAAGTGAGATTTAATAAGACATGTTGTAAAGGGTCCCTAGTTCTGACACTATGAAATGACTGTGTGAGCCTACCCACCACACTGCTCACTGTCTTCTTAGAAAGCGATGGTGGGCATCTAAGCAATTGGTGAGTCAGCTTGGCCCTGAGTAAGTCTGTAAAACAGAGTAAGTTCAGTGTGCCCTGTACCCTGCTCTATAAGTTATAGTCACCCAAGTCCTTTTGTTAACAAAGGAAGGCTTCAGGAAGAGTCGATAACAGCGTGACTTTCATTTTTTATTTCAAAAGAGGACCTAAAAGGGACAATGCTTAACACAAAGTCTGTGTGGCTCACTGGAACAGAAAAAGACCTGCTCCAGGTCTTGGGGAGACTCAGTCCTTGCCTTGGCTTGGCCACATCGCTTGGGCAAACCCTTTCCTCTCTAGGCGGAGTGAAATGGGCTTGGTCTAAATGAACTCTAATGTTGCTTCTAGCTTTTTAAAAGTCTGTTGGCTTTTTTAAAAGTCTGTTGGCTCTTTTCTGGTGTAAGTGCAGACATTGTAGGTAATGATAATAGTTGGTGCAGGTTTAGCTAATAAGGCCTTTCTGTTGTCCCTCAAATCAGCCAGTCTGTGCATAAGATTGCATCTAAGTTTTGACATAAACACATTCCTCTTGAATTTAAAACATTTCCAGCTGGAAAAGGAGGGCCTCCAAATCTTTCATTTTAAGATGTCATTTATAGTAAGAGATCTCATTTTATACATGATTTAAATTATGACATGCTATCAAGTATAAGACTCATTCCAATTTCCGAGATGTTAAAATGTGCATCAGAATGGATGAAATATGGTACATCTAATGCACTTTCAAATGCTTACTCTTTTTACTTTGTTTTTTTGTCATGCTTAAGTCATTATGCTCAGTATTTTAAAAATATAACTCTTTTAGTCAATAAATAGGTATTCAACAA